CATGGTCGTGCGTGCCTGTAATCCCAGCTACTCAGGAGGCTGAGGCAGGAGAATTGCCTGAACCCAGGAGGCGGAGGTTGCGGTGAGCCGAGATCGCGCCATTGCACTCCAGACTGGGTAACATGAGTGAAACTCCATCTCAAATAAATAAATAAATAAATAAATAAATAAATTCAACATGTGACAAATAAAATAGACAAGGATTGTAGGGGGAAAAAAGTTTATTTTCAAAGATTTGTGCAGACAATGGTGAATACAAAATTGTATTTCAACTATAAAAAGGAGCTGACTTCATTCCACCCTGGCATACAGGGTTTATAGTGATGCCAGTTTGAATCTGAGACAATACTGCTATCCCCATTTTTCCACCTGTAAAAGATTCCCCCAGAGGAATAACTTCCTATAACTTTTAGTCAAAAATATATAAGACACATCAACCAAAGTAATGAGTTAAACAAGTTTCTGCTTATCTGCTCAGGGAAAGTCAAGAAATGAAACAAGCTGTGTATTTGTTTTTTTGCTGTAAATTACCTTCACCTTGTACACTTTTTGGTACATTCTGGTAATGAAAACATCTCAAAATGTAACAACACAAGAGTTTAGGTCAAGATGACCCACCCAGGAGGCTATAAAAACTGGTTTGAACTAGAACTGTGGAATGGAACTAGTTTAAAATATGAAGCAGCTCTAAACACCAAGCTTAGAGACATTAGCCCTATTAGAAAACAAAATCATTAAAGCTACAAAATAACAAGTGCAAAACATGCTGAACCTGTTTCCAGGGAGTGACTTTCCCTTTGTCCAACAGGTCCCAAACTCACACCCACAAGGTGTAACTCTCTTTCCTGTTCCAATAGATTTCCTTTCTCTCATGCCAAAGATCCTCAGAAATGACAATGGAAACACATGAGTTGTTGAAATTTACCCTGTGGACCAATTCCTGGAGAGATAACGGCCACAACTCTGAGATGATTAGACATGTAGTGTTTACTTGGTATTTCTAGAAACCCTCAAAGCATTAAACTGCATATTTCAAAATCTAAACTTCCTAGCAGCTTTTATTCTTTTGGAGTAAGCAGACAGAAGACAATTTGCTGCCACACAGGAATCAACCACAGCTAACTTGTCCACCATAAAGTTTTATGGTAATAGACAATTCAACTGGAAGACCCATGTCTATGCTTATAATAATTTAACCTTAGACCTATTATTTTTTAAATAGAGAAGTTCTAGACATCCAATAGCTGATCCTTCTGCGGATATAAGGAGGGAGTGGAGTAGTCTTCCAGTCAAATGCTGAGCCATCTAAAATGGTCTGCTCAGGAGTTACTAACTCCAGGGCAAAGTCCTTCGATATCAATTGCAAAGCTCTGTTTTCTTTTACTTGAGGAAACACCCTCACTTTATTTGTGGATCCTATGAACTGTCCAAATACACTGATGAATATCAGCAACTTCTCTTATTTGAATTTCTCATGTCCTTAAAGTAAATAGAATTTCCAGAGACAACTAAAGAGCAATGCAATATGAAGAAAATTAAGAGTTGGATAAGAAAAATAAGTAATCAACTAAAAATTGCCACAACTCAGACTTAAACACAAAATAAGTCTGTTGCCTTTTGTAAGATGACAAAACTACCATCTAACATCACAAGTTCTCATACTAGATGAATTTACTAGTATATGAATCAATATACTAGATTTCTTTCTTCTACCCCAACTGCAAATATATTAAACAATTATTTCTTCAATAGTTTCTTTTCCCCCAGTCATGGCATTTAAAACTGAATAACAGTATTTAGCACTAAGTAATTTAGAAAATATAAAAGGCTTTATGAAATAGCAACAGTTGATTCATTTTTCATATACCATTTGATCAACTGAAGTCTCCATTTGAGGATACTGGTGAACAGAAAAAGTTTTTCTTGTCTAAGCCACTGCTTTCTGGTCTCATCATACAGATAATTCCCACATTTTATGTAGGCCCAGATTCTCTTGGCAAAACTCTCAAGCTACGAGCACATAACACAGCTACTTCATCTGTTCCCTTTTTGCAATGAGCACCATGCCTCTTTTATGTTCCCAGATGGGTACATGAAAGACAAATCTCTAAAGCCAAAGAATTTCTTGGCATTGCATAACTGTTTCCCACCCAGCATCCCCTCCCCAGTTTGCCAGATCCAAATCAAACAGTGAAAAGAAGTCTTGAAAATTCTCTCTCTTCAAAAAAGATCTGAACACAGCCTAGTTCCTTCCCTAATGAGCCTCAGTTTGAAAAGATCCTGATGAGGAGCTGAAGAACAAAACAGGGTGACAGGTTTTTACGAAGGAGGTATGTAATCTTATCACTGAGGGGTGTAAATTTTCTGAACATTATATGCACTCTGCCAAGGACCGATTTACACACAGATCAAAGGAAGTTGGCTTTCTGTAGTCCCCTGAAGCATAAATAACATTCGTGACCATGAGGAGTTTTCCCCACATGTAGCAGGGGCAGACGATGTGCTGTCATCCTGGGGACTGATGACTTCAACTGAACTCTCCTACACTGGGTCCAGGCCTCCAACAGGTTCTTCATCCCCGTCCCCTTGGTTGGCAGTTGATGACTTGGATACTTTGGAATTCATTTTATAAACAGGACGTAAAAGGCCATTACAACACAAGCAATTGCCACAGCAGCATGCAGCCTGGTTCCAATCACAGCAGCTAGCAGGCAAAAAATAAAGAGAGATTAAATCACACCTGCCTTCACTGAAGTCCTTACTTTCGAGGTGGTATTTTGAAGTCTCTAGTCACAGACAGACATATCAAGGCTCTCAAGGACCTGGGATGTTTTTATTTTTTGAGACGTTTCGCTCTGTCGCCCTGGTTGGAATACAATGGTGCAATCTAGGCTCACTGCAACCTCCACCTCCTGGGTTCAAGGGATTTTGTGTCAGCCTCCTGAGTAGCTGGGATTACAGGCACCCAACACCACACCGGGCTAATTTTTTTTTTGAGACAGAGTCTCACTCTGTTGCCAAGGCTGGAGTGCAGTGGCATGATCTCAGCTCACTGCAACCTCTGCTGCCTGGGTTCAAGCAATTCTCCTCCCTCAGCCTCCCAAGTAGCTGGGATTATAGATGCCCACCACCACACCTGGCTAATTTTCTTTTTCTTTTTTTTGAGACAGAGTCTCACTCTGTTGTCCAGGCTGGAGTGCAGTAATGTGATCTCAGCTCACTGCAACCTCTGCCACCTGGGTTCAAGCGATTCTCCTGGCCTCAGCCCCCCAAGTAGCTGGGATTACAGGCAGCTGCGACCACACCCAGCTAATTTTTGTATTTTTGGTAAAGATGTGGTTTCACCATCTTGGCCAGGTTGGTCTTGAACTCCTGACCTCGTGATCTACCCGCCTCAGCCTCCCAAAGTGCTGGGATTACAGGCATGACCCAACGTGCCTGGCCTCTGGGATGTTTTTAAATGCTATCCTTTTGCTTTAGGGTCTAGGTGAATATACTGTTTGTTTACATTTTGTCCTTTTCCAAAAAAAATATTTAGGTAGGTAGGATTCCAAATGAATATGCCTCAAATGAAAAGTCAAAAAAGGCATCTGAGTTAATTGAATCAAGCCTTAAAAGAAACTCCAATGTACCCTTTACAGAAAATCAAAAAATTTTTCAATAGGAAAATCTTTTTCCCACTGAAGGGAGGAATTCCACCCCAGCCTAAAATGGTTTCATGTGTATACTTTTACTCCATGGAGAATACAAAAATCATCTGGATGCTAAAATAGACAATTACGTTTTTAAATAACAATTTTTTTTTTTTTTTTTTTTTTGAGACAGAGTCTCACCCTGTTTCCCAGGCTGGAGCACAGTGGCTCCACCATGGCTCATTGCAGCCTCAACCTCTTAGGCTCAAGCAGTCCTCCCACCTCAGCCTCCTGAGTAGCTGGGACTACAGGCACGTGCCACCATACCTGGCTAATTTTTGTGTATTTTATAGAAATGGGGTCTCACTATGTTGCCCAGACTGATGTACAACTCCTGGATTCAAGCAATCCTCCTGCCTTGGCCCCCCAAAGTGCTGGGATTATAGGCATGAGCCACCACACCTGGCAAATTTTAACATTTACCTCTTCCCTCAACTTTGGAGAAATATTAATTTTACAGACTCTCAGACCCAATCTGAGGGATTTTTTTTTTTTCTAAAAATGAAACCCAATACAATCCTAGCTCACTGTACCCCCTACTTTGTAGCTACACAATGTCCAGAGATGGCAGTCTCCTTTCCCTGTCCAGACATGGCCTCACCTTTGTAAAAGACACCCCAAACGCCCTTCTTCTCTGATAGCAGCCAGGTTTTGAGACGAGGAACTTTCTTGAAGTAGGCACAGGTGCAAACAAAGAGCAAACCAAACACCAGAATCCCATCCAAGGAGTACACTGTTAAATGAAGAAGAAAAGAAAACCTTAGGTACTGATCTAGCTTGGGACCTGTGATCCTGCCTGAGAACTCTAAGGAAGATAGTGTGTGACATAATAACAAAATAACCTCAGCAGGCAGTAACCAACACTTCACAAGAGGAAGCCAAGATCCTGGGACTAACAAGATTATTTTACTGTTGCCAAAAATTGCTCTAAGAGGAAGGAGGATCGACTGACCCCAGGAGTTCGAGGCTGCAGTGAACTATGATCATGCCACTGCACTTTAGCCTGGGCAACAGAGTGAGACCCCAACTCAGAAAAAAAATTTTTTTTAACATCCCCTTTACTAAAATGTCACTGCTCCCTCCCCTCACCTTTCAAGAAGTAGAAATCCTGGGGAGAAATTAGCATTCCAGGAATGACTAGTGTTGGCAATAGATTGAGACATATGAATCCTTAGAGACTCAGCTCAGAGAATTTAACATGTTCTTGTTATAAATCACTCATATGATAAAGGAGAGCTAGATAAAGAGCCAAATCTGTCAGATCTACATCTGTTAGTGAAGAATATGTTAAGGCAAAAAGTAAAGCTAAGTGGAAATTCCAAGAGTAAGAATCCACATGACTACAATTTTCCTATACTTATCTTACACTTTATGCATGATACTCTCCAAATTCCTGCCAGAGTAATAACAGATTTTTCTAAAATAAAGAAAAAGTATCTAAGGCTTCAACATAGTAGAAAGCTTTAAATTCTTAGCTGTTTCTTAAATATGTAAACCAAGCTTATTTCATGTACAGGTAAGCACAATGAATCACTTAATTGCAAAAAACGAGAAGATATTGGACCACAAAGTGGGGGGAAATGACTAAAATTTATTCAGCAATTACTGTGTCAAACTGCTCTCTCACTTCCTGGTTCAGATTCTGTCTTCCTCTGGTTAATGTCCCTTTTCTTACTGTGCCTAGTATCCTGAGACCTCTGACTTCCAAGGATGCTCTAAATGAATATTATACATAACCAGTGTCTGCCAGTTCTAGACCACACTATCTACCTCTTTTCCTCCAGTAAAACTGTCTCAAAGCTAGATGTCACTAAGAAAGGGTCCAGCAAATTAATACATACACTAAGGTATTCTGAGGAACTATGCCTTTACGTGCTACTCTTTTTCTCTCATACATTTTTGCAGACAATGCCAAAATTCACAAGGAGGTGAAATTCGAGTATTCAGTGCCAGGTCTATGGACAAAGTACTTTTGAGAAATGGTTTCCGGAGCCCCTCCAATCATCCTAATGCCGACAAGGCTTTCTCCTTTCCTATGAGGTTGACTCTAAAGATCCAGAAGGCCCTCCTTCCTGTCCTCCTCTGGAATTCAGAATTCATAGCTATAAAGTGTTTGAAGAGGCCTGGAAAAATAGGTCAGATAAACAGGGTGGCAACTGCCTCATCATTTAGAAGAAGCAATGTCTAAATCCACTCCTTGGAACACTAGTCAGGGTTTCCATGTGGGATCACCCCCCAGGACTTTAAAATCAAAAATCTTTCCGGCATTTTTCCATAACAAGAACTTTTTGGGCAGTCTACATTCACTAGCACCCCCAAAAGTGTGGGACTTGATGTTTATGTGATTTCTTGGCCCTCTCAACAAAACTACGGTCCGAAAGTATAGGAACGTAGGGGGCTGGGAGGAGGAGCCTCTCCGTTTCCTGGGTCTAAACAGCAGTGGTTCCGCTGGGACTGACCTCTCCAAGGGCCAAAAAGAACTAAGAAAAAGAAAAGGGAAAGCAAAGGATAGGGATAGATAACTCGAGGTGTGTGAATGAGCGGCACTGGGGTTTCTGGATGAATATGGGAAGGGGGAACCCATGGAGGAGTATAGGGGTACAGAAGTTTAGAGGCGTCGAGGGGCCAAGCGGGGCCGGGCTGGGAGGGGGCGGGGAGAACGGCCACGTCAGTCCCGGCCCCGCCCGCCACGTTTTCTCTTCGTTCTTCACTCCCACCCTTCGCTCAGAGCATCGGTTCTCACCGTTCGTCATGGCGGCTGGCCCTGGACCTGGGTACGGGGTCCGGGTTCAGCGGTGATAGCGGCGAAGGCGGGGGAACCTGGGGCCCGCTTGACACTTCCCGATCCGGGCCGAGGCGACAAGAAGGAGCCGTAGTACGCAGGCGCAAGGTCCGACAGGCGAACGCCGAACGCTATCGGGAATGGCTAGCCGATTACCGAGCTAGGGAACCTGCGTGCTTACGTTGGATAAGAAGAACGCTATCCCGCAGGCTTCTTGCGTGGCCATGGTAATTAAATCTTTCCTGCGTGCCCCTGCGGTGTTAGTGCTGAGGCGTAACCTTACTGGTCCGTGTCCGTGTGTTTGGAAAGGTAAACGGTTGTAGTTCTGTAGTTTATTTTGCGCCTTGGCGGCTGTTGTGTGTAAGCAGCAGCTCACTTTCATCGTCCCGGGCTTCCACTTGAGAGAACTCCAGCACTGGGGGTGAAGAAGCCTCAGCTGCGGCCTCCGAGACTGCCCTTGCGCTGCTCTTCCTTGCTCCGAAGGGAAATCTATGTAGTCAGCGTCTGAACGTTCCAAATGAAATGAGGAAATTCAAAACAAGTCGCATTTTTCAGATCCTAAAGCACCACGTCGTCAGAAAACATTCAAATGGTTGCCCGTTTGCCTGTGTGAATTTTTCTTTTCCTTAAACTATCAGGAGAATCTCGATTCTCCTACGTTTAATTCATGCTGGGATCACCTCAGCCACTTTAACCAGAAATCGGCGAAATCTAGACAGCGCTTCTGAGGGCGCTGACAATGTGACAAAAGACACTGTAAATCTAATTATGGAGGTGGGATGGAGGAGACAAAACTACAGATGCAGATTTGCATACAGAAATCCTTAATTGCACACAACTCAGCCCACTTTATTAGAGTCCAGGCAAAAGTGCGACACCGAGTTCCCCAAGGCTAACTGGAGGGTTAAATTATAAGGTTACTAGTCCGCCGTGCTTGTCAAGGTCCTAAAGGGACTCTGCCCCTCTCCGCTGCAGTGCCATCTGCTGGCTGCAGCCTGCTTGGTTACCCAGAAGAAAAACTGCCAAAGCATCCTCTCTGGAAGCTGGCGTGGAAAGGCAAGCCAAAAAGTCTGGTGCAGGACAGACGCTTTGAGAAAACATACATGCAGAAAAAAAAAAAAAA